TATCCACTGAGCCACGGCCGCTTCTCTGACGACGAGTCTCCCTGGCCTCGGTGTGAGCGGCGCCGGCGGCTTCACCCGCCGACGACGTAAGGGATTAATCTTGCAATAACGGCCAAACCGCTGGGTTAAGTGCAAAACACCTCAGATGCAAAAGTGACCGCCTCATCAATACGCAATAAACGAACCTGTTCCGGCGCCGATCCGAGCACCAGGGCGTAACGGAGGGGCACTTGTTCAAAACGAGTACCACTCCGTTCGGAAAAAACGAGTTTTCTCGTAAACGGTATTAGATATCGACACGCGGTTTGCGGCGGACGATAGGTCTTGGTGGCGCGCGTATTTGCACCGCTTACACTCCCGACCTATTCTGCCGCCTTGTATGAGCAATTCGGACGGGTATCTGCGGAAAGTAGTTTTGCCGATATAACTCGAGAAGGGTCCGACGGACTTTGATCGGTCAGGGTGGCTCAGAGGTGTTTTGACCTGCCCGACAACTTTTATGAGGAGGTGTTTTCCGAAATTCGGCACCCTTCCGTTACTTTTCAACGAGTAGTACCCTTTTTCGTTTATTTTAAACTGATGTACCCATCTTATGTCAAAGCGGGTAATTGTAGTCCTCTACTGTCAAACTAAGAAAGCGAACGCAAAAAACCCCATATCGATAGCACCTACCATCACGTCTAGGGTGCAGTTGCACGTTTTGCTTGAAAGTGGACCACGCGCTCACTTCAAGCAGAGTTGCTTGAAACTTCAAGCAACCTGCTCGAAACTTTCAAGCAAGTGGAGCGAAACCGGCTTGCTTGAAATGTTTCAAGCAGCGCGCTTGAAATTCAAGCAGAATAGTTTGCTGTGAATATATTACAGAGCACTTTCAGTCATGTCCTGATATGTATAGTGCACACAAGGAGTGGATGACTTCTACATATCCTGAAAAGAAACAAGCAACACAAAGACAGTACCGTGATGTTTTTAATACTGAATTCAACATAAGTTTCTTTTTACCAAAAAAAGATGTGTGTGATGAATGCACAACTTGGTTGCACACACCAGAAGTAGGTAAAGCTGCTCTAGAAGATACCTATAATAAGCATTTAGAAAACAAAAAAATAGTTCATGAAATGGTGAAGTATGATAAAACACTGGCCAGACACAAAGATAATAAAACCTTATGTGTTGCTCACTTTGACTATGAAAAAAATCTTATCTGCCCCAAAGCTGACACATCTGTGTTCTACTGTAGAAGAAAATTGTGTGTGATCAATTTTACTTTAGTAGATGTTGGTAAATATTTAGACAACTGTTATGTTTATGATGAAACAATTGGTCGCAAAGGGTCAAATGAAGTTTCAAGTTTTTTGCTACATTTTATTGAAAGGAAAGTAGAAACTGGTATCAAAGAATTCCGCTTTTATAGTGACAACTGTGGGGGCCAAAATAAAAACAAGAATGTTACTACTCTCTATGCATATGCGGCTGCTAAGTATAATGTACGTATTGTTCATACTTTCCTAGAGAAAAACCATTCAAATTTACTGTCCCAAACAATGGTATGATAATATAGCCACAGCCAAAAGAAGTAAGACTCATCCAATCCTAGTAATTGAAGTAATTTAAGATCTGATATATCAGTGGATCGATCTCTCTGAAAAGTTGCAGTTGATAAAAGATACTGATAAGGAACCTGTTCCGTGGAGATCAATACGTCAAATTTCTGCTGAGGGAACATCACCTCATGAATTACAATTTAAAATTGATCACAAGGAAGAGCCACGAACTATTTCTACAAAGAAGGTTCGAAAACCAGTTAACTTCTGCACCTTTACGCTATAGAAGGTTTACAATGGCCCTCTCCCTATTTCTAAACTCAAGTATAATGATCTGCAGTTCTATTGTTCTCAGTTCAATGCCATGAGTTTTTTAACAGCATCAATTCTTCTGACAATGTACCAGATGAAGTTTTGCAAATTGAGCCAGAAGCAGGAAGAGCCCGAAAGCGGAAGACTCCTATCCCCAAAGCTACTCAGCCAAAGAAGAGGGCAACTAGAAAAACAGTTGTGGCTTCAGATAATGAAGACAACAGTTTTGATGAATAATTTTTAAATATGACAAGACTGATTTCTTAGCTACAGAGGCAGTGCTTCCTAAAAATTAGTCACTAGATTTTAACTTATTTTGTGGTTATTATTTCTCTTATTAATGTTTGTTTGAGGTATAATTAGTCATGATCTCTCAGCTAAATACTGACTCCATTATGATATTGCTCAATGACTGATCAGCCTATTAGTATTATTTCAATGTGATTTTAAATATCTAATCTTAGCTTGTTCTTAATTATTAGGTAGTCATTTGTGTAAGTAGACTCAATGTTACAGTTCGTAATGAACGGGGTTTACTCTGCTTAAGTTAAAAAGACCAATGGATACTTTAACTCAGTTAAAACTGAACTGTTGGCTACTTTGATTTATTTTTTCTACTGTTGAAAATATAATTTTCATTTGAATAATTGCATACTTTTTATTGGTCCACCTTTATTTTAGAATGTAACATGGAAAAATTACCAGAAATAGAATTTCACACAGTTAAAGTATTACCTTTCCACGGATAATGCACAATGTAAAAGGACCCTAGTCGAGGCTGGAAACCAAGTTTGGTGACACCCGAAGACCATAACATTTCACTATAAGAGTTACGATATTCTGCTAATTTTTTATTTTTTTTTTCTTGACAGAAACTGTTTGTATTATTGGACCTCTTGGGCGCCCCTGGATCATTTTTTTACAGCTATTTCCCAGCAACTCATGGTGCTTACCGGACTTTGGCAGCTGGTGAAAAAACTCTTGCTGCTCTCGACCATTTAAAAGCTGTAGGTGCAAAAAATGGTTGGAGAGGTAGACGAACTGCATACTTTCATGAGTCATCAGCCTCACACTTTGTTGAGGATGACCATACTCCTTTTCTTCAAAGAGGTGATTATGACACACTAACAAATTGCTATTAGTTGTTATTACTGCTAATGAAACATTTCTACATTCCTCATATGGTTTTACATTGCTTTTAATTTTTGTAACAGGAGTCCCTGTCCTTCACATTATCCCTCATGAGTTTCCCGATGTATGGCATACACAAAATGATAACTGGAATGCCATTGACCGCCCAACAATAGAAGATTTAAACAAAATTATGAGGATGTTTGTTCTTAGTTATTTAAATATTTAGTAATAATTTTAATTTTACAAGACTTACCTTTTCCCATCCAAGCAAATTTATGACAATGACTTTAAGTCTCCAATCTGTTGATTTTAAATTGATTACTGATGTGGTTGCAATACAATTGCTTTACTGAATGTGTTTCCTAGCTCTGTGATTACTCAAGTTTTGATATTGCTTAGAAAAGTATTTCATTAATGTTTAATGAACTCGTGCATTTTGATGCGCGTAATTTGATATTGTATTGTTCTGACACTTAAAACAATGTTGTTAATATTTTAAAAATCATTGTTTGAGTGTTGTGTATTCCTAGAAAAATCATACTCCGTTAACTTCATAGTGGGAAAAAAAATAATTTTTCGTTTGCTTGATTTCTCAAATTATTTCTCAAATGTTATAAACCCAAATAATATTATGATAGCTCAATGACCGGTTGTGAGCCAATTGCAAGTAGATTAAGGTCAAAGACGGCTGATTTATTTTGTGATATTTTATACTGTAATGTTGCACTGTGTATATTGTAGTTGTAGTGTTTTTCATTGCCAATAAAGAAGTGAAGGTTATCTGCAATCATACCTTTAATCAATCGTCCACTCATTTTCCCCTCCCTTAATAGTAGAACTCTACTAGAGTAGCAGATTCCCCTCCATTGTTTTCCCCTTCGGACGGGGACGGACCTCTAACGCCGAAGAATTCAAATTTTGCGCGCCCTGAAAGCACAGAGTAGGCACCATTACTTTGGTAAAAACGTTCATCAACATAACGTAACAAATCGATAGACCTATTTTAATTTTTAATTTAATAATGTGAAACGCAAAAATCAATTCTATACTGCATATTTTGATGCAATTCTAGGAGATGGTCTTAAATGGTCAAGGACTAAGGACCGATCGATAGTCGCTACCCCCTCCACGTTCACGCTATTCCTGTGTCGTCTGGCTTTGACAGTTGCAGGCAAAATGGCGCTCAAGGCACTCGTCGGTCAAAGTAAGTTATTTTGACGTTAAAATTGACAAAATGGTACTCGACTTGCACTTCAGATGCAGGATATTATGTCCAACGTTCGTCAAATATAACGTTCTCTTTGTCTTTACTCGATTACTTGTGTCAAACTGTCCAGCCCCCTCAACCTCCCCACTTCAGGTTGGGATCTGTGTGTCACCACTTTACTATTTTGTGGGCGTGTCATAGTGCCTTAAAGGAATAGTAATTTCGAGTAATTTGATATGATACACCTGCTGTGGTGTTACAATGCTAGAGTTTAGTGCACAAATGTTGTTTCACTTAATGTTGCCCAATGATAACCAAATACTGGAAAGTGACAGTCCTGCCATATCTTATTTTCTCTCCCCAGATTATTCTTTTTATGCACGTCATGCAAGTTTTTTCATTTGACAGAGTCTTTTAAAACGTTTGAGACAGAACTAGAAGATCATGCATTTTAAAGTGATCATTCTTGCACCCAACGCTGACAATCATTATCAGTTCAGCCAACATGTCGTGCACTTGAATTATACCATTCATTGTTATTGTTGTCTAAAAATAGTGAGATATTAACTTGTATGATGAATGTCTTTCATTCAAAGCTTTTTTTAAGATTTTTAATGATTTCTTTATCAAAGTCTTTGATCTCCAAATAATTTTAGCAATTTTAAGCTGAAATGCTAATGATTTGTTTGTTTTCAGAGATTATGAATGAGGTTGTTCGAGCCAAACAGAAGAAAGGAAAAGAAGTAGAATGGCGTGTCCTTGTTGTGGATCAACTTGCAATGCGTATGGTGTCTTCCTGTTGCAAAATGCATGACATAACTGCAGAAGGCGTCACAAGTAAGTATTGATGATAAGTGGGTCCTAATCCAATGTCAGATTGGATCTATCTTTAATCCTTTCCTCTATCACATTACAGTTGTGGAAGATATTCATAAGAAGAGAGAACCACTACCTACAATGGAAGGAGTATACCTCATCACACCTTCTGAGAGGTCTGTGCATGCACTCATGCAAGATTTCAGCAGCCCAAACAGGACAATGTACCGTGCAGCACATGTTTATTTTACTGAGGGTAAGCGCATCTTTTGCTGTTAAACTGTGAAATCATTGAAAATTAACTGTAAAGAATTGATACATGTTGTGAATAAGGACATTATTAACTGCATCAGCCTGTGACAATACATAATTATGACCAGGCAACTACATCATGTTCTTGGGTCTTTCCTGTATCTTAGTATTGTTTCTAGTACAGTAATATGTTTTATATACATTTTTTTCTCAGCAACCCATATGCAATTGGACTGTCAAAGTGCAAAATCTCTTTCAGATTTATTTTTAACAATATGTTTTCTGCTATATGACAACTTTTGTGGTTGTGGGGGTTAAGGGTTTTCCGGTGTTCTTTTTAAACAGCTAGCAGTGAACATGTTAAGAGTATTTCGTTCAGTCTGACAGAGGAACTCTGTTTCTGTGTTCAAGGGTGTATTCTGTTTCAGCATGCCCTGATGAGTTATTCCAGAAACTGGCTCAATCACCTGTAACAAAATACATTAAAACTTTAAAGGAAATTAACATAGCATTTTTAGCATATGAAGAGCAGGTAAAGTAGTCTATTAGGATTTTGTCCTATGGTTGTGGTGCAAACATTTGCTATGTGGTGTTACTGGGAGACTAACTTGAATGGATTACACTGGTGTAAGAGCCGTTTCTACAAATTTTTTTTCAGCATCAAACCTTGTTCTCTTCACTTCTGTTACACCTAATGTGCTCTCTGCAACCTTGCTTACTAATCTTGACTTTTTGCTTCTGGTGATGTCAGTTTGATTCAAATTAGTCAGGAAGACATGTCTGATTTACTTTTCAAAAAGGAATCAATGTATCTTGCAAAATACACAACATTCTCTCTTAATCTCACTAAAATGCTTTGCTAGCATTGTGGATTGCTTTGGGTGCATTTGTGGTGTGGTGGTGCAGTGTGGTGCGCTAACTAGCGCTTTTACTAAGTCAATGTGGAAAATTTTGCTTCACAGTGTGTCCAGAGGAACTCTTCAATGAACTTTGCAAATCTTGTGCTGCTAAAAAGATTAAGACACTGAGGGAAATCAACATAGCTTTTCTGCCCTATGAGTGTCAGGTTTGTCTCTTGTATACCTGCAAGCTTCCTAGAGGTGCATTGCATGCCATTTCAATCTTCTTGGGAAACATTTGCTTTTGTATATATTTTGCATTTGTGGAGACTGATTAATCTAAATTTGGAAAGCAATAAAGTCATAACGTGCATTTATGCTTCATTTTAATCCTGCTTAGTATGAAACCATTTTTCCTCCTTAATAGTTCAATTCTACCCAAATTTCAATCTTGCTATTGCAAATATAGTTCTTTTATGGTATTCCTTCAGTATTCTGTATATTTTACTAAAACCATTTTTTCAGGTGTTCTCTCTTGATGCCCCAGAAACATTTCAGTGCATGTACAACCCTGCCCTATTTAGTACACGTAATGCCAACATGGAACGTATTGCTGAACAAATTGCTACCCTATGTGCCACTCTGGGAGAGTACCCCTCTGTTCGCTATCGAAGGTATAAATTACATCTGTGTAAATCATATTGATGGTTTCAGTAGTAACAAAATTCTAACAGTTGTTTTTAATTTTTTGAAGTGATTTCGACAAAAATGTTGAGCTGGCTCAAATGGTGCAGCAGAAGCTGGATGCCTACAAGGCAGATGAGCCAACGATGGGAGAAGGCCCTGAAAAGGCGCGCTCCCAACTGTTGATCCTTGATCGTGGTTTTGATTGTGTTTCTCCAATCCTTCATGAGTTGACATTCCAAGCAATGGCATATGATCTTCTTCCTATTGAAAATGATGTTTACAAGTAAGTTTTAGATTTTAAACAATAAATTAGTTCTATAAAAGCTTGCCCTCTTGGGGTGAATGTAATTTACTTTTCTAGTATGGCTGTCACTTTAAAATGGTTAATAATTATTGTGATATTTATCTGCTATAGATATGAAGCAACCCAAGGTCAACCTGAAAAGGAAGTTTTGCTTGACGAGAATGATGAGTTATGGGTTGAGTTGCGCCATCAACACATTGCTATTGTCTCCCAGTAAGTGAAACATATCAATTCAAGCTGTATTTGCCACAAATTGTGCTGTTATGTTACTTCTTACATAAATTCGTTATTTTTTTCAATTTCAGGAATGTCACAAAGAACTTGAAGAAGTTTATTGACTCAAAGCAGCGAATGCCTACTGGTGACAAGCAATCTATGCGGGATCTCTCTCAGATGATTAAAAAGATGCCTCAATACCAGAAAGAACTGAGCAAGTACTCCACTCACCTGCATCTTGCTGAGGACTGCATGAAAATGTACCAAGGAGCTGTGGATAAATTGTGCAGAGTTGAGCAAGATTTAGCAATGGGCACTGATGCCGAAGGAGAACGTATTAAGGACCACATGCGCAATATTGTGCCTATTCTCCTTGACCAAAGTATTTCCAACTATGACAAGATGCGTGTGATTCTCCTTTATGTTATTTCAAAGAATGGCATCACTGAGGAAAATCTGACTAAACTAGTCCAGCATGCCCAAATTACCAGTACCGAGAAACAGGCTATTGTTAATTTGGCTAATCTTGGGCTCAATGCAGTTGTTGATGTATGTTTCACCATCTTTCATAAATTGTTTGTGTGTGACAGTCTCAATTCTTGACCGACTTACCCTGAGAGTTATTTTATTCTTTCTTGTAGGGAACACGAAAGAAAATTTACAATGTTCCTCGCAAAGAGCGTATTACCGAACAGACTTACCAAATGTCCCGCTGGACGCCTGTTGTAAAAGACATCATGGAAGATAGCATTGAAGAAAAACTGGATATTAAGCATTTTCCTTTCTTGGCTGGGCGAGCTGTGACTGGCAACTACCATGCTCCTACCAGGTAAAACACCTACCAATTTAGAAATTTCTTACTACTCTGTTTGGGGTTTTAATTGTTACTCCTTTTGTAATTGCAGCAGTGCACGTTATGGCCAATGGCATCGTGATAAGGGCCAGCAGGCTGTTAAGAATGTTCCTCGTCTGATTGTTTTTATTGTTGGAGGATGCAGTTATTCAGAAATTCGTAGTGCCTATGAGGTCACAAACCAAGTCAAAAATTGGGAAGTCATTATTGGTAAGCTTGGGCTTTAATGGTTCATATCATTCAAAATCAATCAAATTAAGTTGCGAGGATTAGTAGTACCATCAATTTTAAATTTACAGGGTCATCAAACATCATCACTCCAGAGGATTTCCTCAACAACCTCCAAAACCTGAGTTCATAGGCTCTAACAGTGCTGTTTTGAAAAAATGATGAAAATACCATGAGTCAATATGTATGGTTTTGACTCCTGTGTAAGAAAGCTCTACTTGCATTGATCTTTTTTCCCCCTTCTTTAAAAATGAAAATAGATGCATAACTTTAAATGATTCAATGTTAATGACTAATTTGCTTTGCATACTACTTACTCATAATTGAAAAAAAAATTGTGTCTGCACACCAAAACATCAAGGGAAAAAAATGAGCTGGCAATCAAATCTTTCTGAATTCACTATGAAAAGCTAGGATTTAACACAGATTTATTGATGAAATGGTAATGCACTGTTTAATTCTGTTTCTGAGCATTTTTCGCGTAACCTTTCTTGTAGAGTCTGCCTCCTGCATACCGGTAGTTGTTTTTGAAACAGTGATGTAGACTTTATACTTTTATTATCGAATTGTGTCAATACTAGCTTCTTTGACAAGAAATGTATTGATAAGAGAGCAAAGCAAGTTTTGACAATGAAAAGTGATAATGCTTGCTGTGAATATATTCTGCCATCTGCTTTCTGAACCCACATCTTATGTTATCTCTCCATGGCAACCCACCTTTTCTCTTACTTTTATTTCTTGATAAAACAAAGTAGAATTTGATGCGGATTTCTTATGTACTTCTGCTGGAACGTATTAAGGTCAATAGCAGTGCCTTTTAGCTTTTCAAATCGTCGACTATTATCATTTTGAAAGTTGCCTTACATGTAGTTTATCTTTGATGTAGTGTATTTTATACTTCATTACAGTGTAAGAGGAAATAATGTTAGATTGTTCATGTCAATATAAATTTAATCGCCCAACTTTTCTTCTTATACATTCTTCTGATCACAAATTATGCTATTAGCACATTTGAAATGTGTTTTTGTTTCCTGTACTTTTTGGTCATTGCCCTAATTTTTTCTGTCAGTTCAATTTTAAACCTTGTAGGTTCATTGTATATAGGAATTAGAATAGCTAACAAGTGTTCTGAGATATTTGTTTGACATGAGCTAGCAACTTTTGTTATATGGTTGTAAATAAGATTTTAAAAACTTGTTAATGTACTTCTATTGTAACTTACACACTACAGATTAATTTCATCAGCTCTCATTCATAATTTTGTAGGCCTGGTAGGTAACCTGTAATTTTTTAACCCTCCTCCCACTTTTGTCTATGTAGACATTTTTATCAATGCTATTCAATAGTTATGGCATCCAAAATTCTGTTGTGTGGATAGACTGGTGTTTCTATTTTGAATTACGCACTATCAATTAATAGCTCATTGTCTTTACTGAATCAGTACTTTTCTGTTTTGAACAAGAAAAATCTGCTGATGGTTACCTTATTGTTGAATTATAATTTTTAAAACCTAGTTGCGAGTGAAGTTTTAATCATTCCAGCTTTAAAGTCAATTCTGGGTTAGTATTACTAAATACAATAGAATTAGTTGTTACTAACTAAAAATATTTTAGCAGTTCATTTATAGTGTTGTGTAATAATGGACTATTGATTCATAATTCTTAAATTTCAGATATGGTTTCCTTGTACATTAAAGTTGTTTTTGCTTTTACTCATTCCAAAATGTTGCATCTTGCGTCTTAATGAACCCATAATAGAAGTAGAACGTACTAATTCCGTCCTAAATGATAGTCTAGTGACACAGCCCGTACAAATTTGGGTGGGGTCAGCGTGAACCTGGCCCCATTGATTGACTCTAAAGCTACTAAATATTCCGTACTAATTCTAATTTTAGTATGGTTCGAACATACTAATTGCATACTAAATCATGGAACTATCGGTAGAATTAGTTCGGCAATGGGTGGGGCCAGCTTCACGGAGGTGAGGCGCCTGGAGAACAGACATACCCGCCGCACCGCGCTGCCCGACGGGCGTGCCTACCCGGCAGGGGCCCTCCTCGGCGAGCACCTCAGCGAGCGTCCCGTCCTGGAGCTGCAGCGCTACCGGCCGGGTCCCCGCGGGTTATCGCGTCCGGGACGGGCCGCGGGGTCAGGTCGGGTCGCGCGGTGAGAGCGGTGCGGAGCGGTGCCGCGGGGTCACGTGCACAAGCAGCCCGACCGCATCTGCCCCTGCTCACTGCAGGTTTCTCTACTTTTCTTGCAAATGTTTGCTGCTCACCTGGTGAGGAGGTCGGAAGCCCCGGCTCCGGGGGGAGAGGGGCGGCGCGGCTACCGCGCACTGCGCCTGCAACACAACAACATGAAGGACGTGCGTTACTAGTCGTATTCGTCTGTCGAGGCTCGAGCGGGCCGCGCTAACGGCGATACAGTACGGCGCCGCGTCCGGGTGCGGGCGCTGCGGCGAGAGGGCTGCGGACCGCAGCGGCCACATGCGGCCTGGCCTGCGCTGGCGCCACGCTGCGGGACAGAGACAAAGCTCGCCGCCCCGCGGGACGGCTCTCCAGCTGTACATTTGGACTGATGTGTCCAGTCCGGCCGTGCACGCATCCATTTCGCGCTCCTGCGTTTCTCTCTCCTCCTCACTCCGCCAGTGGAGCGCAGCGCTTCAAAACTCCCGCCGACGCCGACGTCTGTCGGCCGGTCAGCGTCAGCAGTCGGCACAATGACAGTATTGTCGAGGTGCAGTCGTGCAGGAGGCCCGGCCCGGCCCCCGGCCCGCGGCCCGGTCACGGGGCGGCCTGATCTCCTGAGGAGCCCGCGGAGCCCGCATTGTCCGGCCGTGCCGCGGCGGCGGCGTGGTCGGCCCGATCCCTTTGGCGGTATGCGGCGAGCCGCGCCGCGAACCCACGGATGCCAAAACTTCACAAAACATTAAATAGCATTAAATAGTCCACCATGATCTAGTTTTAATTGTACGAGTAATGAAAGAGTTACAAATCCAGCACGACGACGAAATGGCATTACTTTAACCCACATTTTCTTCATACGCTCGGTTTCTCTAAAAAGTGTAAATTATTCAAGTCAGCCTTTTCCAACATGTAAATCGGCCTTAAATTTATCGGTGTAGCAAAGAAGTCGGCCATCATCATAACGGGGGATGTCTCTGTATCATTATTATTTTTACACCGCAAAAATGGGTTGGGTGCGCAATAATAATAATGAATAAATGTGAGTGAGATGCTGATGCGCGGGGCGTGCTGCTCGAGGGCCCGGCCCGGCCGGCAACGGGACGCTGTCAAACATCCGTCTGGCCGAGGCGGGCCGATATGGGGCCCTCATTAAGGTGGTCTTTTGTTTTGCGGGAGCGAGAGAGACGGAGAGGGAATAGAACGAGTGAGGTGATTGACGTGCTGTTGTACGACGGCGCGCGCGGTGCGGCCCGAGAGACTGCCGGGGATAAAGGCTTACTCCATCACTCTCTTTATATTAATTGTCTTCATAAAAGTAATTCAATCACTATTTCGTTATAACGGAGCGCAAAAAATATGAAGTACAGAGGGAGAGGAAGGGGGGCGTGGTCGGTCGGGCAGACGGGCGTAGTAGGGACGTGTCCGCGTCCGCCTCGGGGGCCTCCGTTGTAAACGGCACCGGCAGCGACCGCCCGCGGAATTCCGATCGATCACTCGTAACAGTCGAGCCAAACGCGCGCGCAAAAAATCGGCCGCAGCTTCCGTCATGACTTCTTGCACCCCCTCCCCCTCCTTTCTCTCTCTCTCTCTCTCTCTCTC